CAAAGATACTCGACCACCATCGCTCTCGACTTTTGCGTCATTATAAAGTTCCTGAGCATGTTGAAGCTATAGGGGACCAACTCGTTCAGTTACAACGCGCATTCCGCAAAGAAGAACCACTTCGAGAGATGACATTGGACAACTAAAAGAGTGGAGCAGGATTTAAAAAGTGTTGGGACGATATCTACACTCGCTTTCCAGCTCTTGCTGATTTCTGCTCTGGTATTGCTTCAGCTTTCCCGAATACAGCTACGGTCGAATACGACTTCTCAATGATTGGAGTAGTGAAGAACGACTTTCGAATGTCACTAACTGACTTCTCCCTCGAAGGTATTCTTCATTGCAAGCAGTACAGCCAACTAGTAGCACTTGCAGCACACACGAACGTGAAGTCGGGTCAAGATCAAAAATAAAAAATCTAAGATTTCAAAAGCCTCAAAAACAAGCTATTTTGTATTTTTGATGAATCTAAAAATTAAGGAGGTCTGCTTATAAGGTAAATCTGCCACCCTGGCAAAGATCGGCACGCGGATTTTTGTATTTCGGTCGTACGGACAAAAGTATGGTACTGTTCGAAAGCTGCGGTTTCGGCTATCTCGTTAATTTCCACCTACAGCGTAGTCGTTTAAGCCACTCAAACCCTTAATTGTGTGAGACGACTGCTCACAGACACCAAACCAGTTATCCGCCACTTGGCTTTCTACATATTATCTTGGATTTTGAATGATACAATTTTCACAGTCATTACCCCCAAAAGTACGAGGGTTGGGCTTGCCAGACCATCAATTCATACCGAAATATCAGAGGAACCAACAGACCATTTGGTGTATTAAAACACATATGTGTAGATGCTTTTCGATTTCGAGCCCTTACATAGTGAACAAGGTTGTGTCCCCGTTGAGCACAACTGCGCCCCCTTTAAATTCCCCTTGCAGCGCAGGTACTAGACTTCCTGAGCAAGTATCTTAGAAAGAGCATTAGACCCTTAGATTGCTAGGACTTGCGCTGTATCTTCAAATATACCCAATTCATTGTCTCGTCAAGGGTTTCTGTGAGATGAAGTGCCTGCGAAGGCTTCCTGGTAAGTCTGGCACATTTCTGTGTCTGACGGTCGTGCAACTGCAGTTGACACTTCAAGTGTAAACTGTCAGCACGCTGAGCTTCTTGCCTTACCGCAACAGCACTAACCAAGTGCGAGTACGTCAGCGCCAGTCCCGGTCGGAAAATAGGCGTCGTACGCACCCGTAGGTCTCTCACCGCCAGACAGCACCGCACTGGATCCCTCTTCCTCAGTCCCTAGCCCTGTTATGACGTCGGCACCCGTTCTGGGTCCGAGTGCTGTCTCGTTCGAATCAAGCACGCAAGAACCCTATTCCGGATGTTATAGAACAACATTAGTGTCGTGGAAGGTTCTATTAACTCGGATGGTCTTTCGAATCAACGCGAACACGAGAAGGAAAGACAAAGAGTGAGAGTACCGAGTCTGTTGACAGTGGTCTGGTGGTGTTGGATGTGTTCAATTTACGGCAACTTCATGGATGGTATGCGAAAGAGATTACCTTCGGCCCAACAGACGCAGACGACATGAATTTGAAGGCGCAGAACAATCAGTCGACGAAGCGATTGATTGTGACGGATAGCTTTTACTCGACAGTGTCTCTTAGCCTCAAGCTACTCGATATGGGCTAACATCATGATGGAACTACATGGCGTGGATCGATTGAGGAGATGCCCGATCCACTTTACATGCAAAAGACGGCCTAAGAAGATACCGAGAGGGACCTACCGTATTGCACAAGCGCGCAACTGCCTCCAGCTCGTTGCGTTGAGCTAGTTAGACTCAAAGCCGATGAGTATGATCGCTACGGGCTGCTGTACGAGGCGGACCAGTGTTTTACGGGCAGATAGCATGTGTCGCGTAGTACAGTGCCGAGGGCGCAACTGGTCATGAACTACGGCCTCGAAATGGGAGATATGGACGTCCAAGACCAGCTCCGTCTTCAGAGATACAGTATCCAGCGATGTGTGTCCCTTCGTACTATAAACAGATATTTATGTGTGCCGTCGACATGACTGTTGTGAATGGATATATCGTACGCTGCTTAACGGTTAAGAAGCGAGAAGAAAAGCCACCTACACATGCCGACTACTTGCGCCGCCTCCACGCTCAGCTGCTCCCGCTCTGGGAGATCAATTTCGAGACACATCCCAACGCCGAAGACCTGGTTAACGTACCGATACTGAGTCAAGAGCACCTGTTAGTAAGCACAAACAGCTTCTATACAATCACCAAGCAGCACAATCGTAGACAATAACTGTACAAGGTGCGCTCCGCGTTTTTAGATTCCAAGACCAAGTCGTTTGAAACTAGCTACTATTGCCCGCAATGCTGTTACGCGTTTGGTGGGCGGGTACCACTCCGCTGGAACGCGCGGTGTCTCGAGACGGGCA